TGCTGGCGGGTTGATGCGCGCCAAGTCTTCGTCGTGGTGTCATAGACTTCGCCATTGGTTCCGTCGGGGTAGAGAATCAAACTGGGCCAGGTTTTAAGCCGACCAGCACTTGCTAGCTTACGAACAGAACTGCCATACATTTCAACGAGCTTGGGAAGTTTCTCAATTTTTGTGCAATTGATCCCGACTCCCCACGGAACGATAGTCGAATATTCTGGACCTAGGAGCGCGTCGATCACTTGATCAACGATGCTATCATCAGGCAGCGTATAAACATCGCCGGGAAAGACGCAAGATATCCAAAATGGAACCTCCCCATGAAGGACAGAGGATTCGTCCGGACTAGACGGTACGGCATGGGTGAAGAGCTTTCGAATGGCCTTGATTTCGTCTAGTTTTGGGACAGTCTCGAATGCAACGAAGCCGATGCGAGATCTAAGGCCATCGATCTGGTCGAATAAGCGAAAGCGATCTCGATGCCAGTTGAACAGTTGATCTATCGAGTCGTGTTCCGGATCGTATTTCCCGCTATACTCTTGGCTCGGTACCATGCAGGCTCCATACGGCCCCAGGCTTAGAGCAACGCGAGCTTGCGGTGTCTTGACTTCCTCAACAATGGAAACAGCAAGATCGAGAAAAGGCGGGATGTCAGAGCTGTTGACGCCTTTCGGGTGGCTTGGAGTCTTGGTTCGAGCGAAAGCTTCAGCGGATACTTGGTATGTTGCTGTGAGTAAAATATCGACGGGAATGTTGCCGAAATCCCTCTGACACGCACGGAGGGTCTCAGGATCATCAATCAGAAGGTGAGAGGACCATAAAGGAGTTTTTTCATCGAACTTGACGCCATAATTATCCTCGAGGGATGTGCCCAGGCCTCCATCTAGGAATAGGACAGGGGCGAGGTCGTCTCCGCTCATGTGGCCGGGTTCTGTCTGTCTGGTACTGAAGACTAAATAACGCGGCGACTGTGATGGTTGTAGAGCCGAAGCCGGAAGTGAGTATCGCCTAATTCCTTACATTAGGTGTAGGTGGTAAGCTAAGGAGGGTGACAGACAGGTGTTCGGCAACGTCAGCACAGGTAATAGGCTATCTTATGAGGAACTCTGGATTAGGTAGACTGGGAGTTTCTTAGAAGCGTATGACGGTAGGGCTGATAAGGCTGACAGATTTAGATAGCTGGACATGTATGTATAAGTATCACGTGTGATCTGAGGTTATCAATGATAGTTGCTGAGCTGTGTTGATAACGATGGGGTTGAACGTGCAGAGTGGCTGAAGCGACTAATTTGCGGGTGATGCACATTATTACTGGACATGGACGCATCTCGCGATATTCAGCGATGAGTGGAATGAGATCGAAAGGTCGGGTTACATGGGAGGCCCCCGGTGGCTCACGCACGCTGGAATTGAGTTTTCGGAAGGGGATGAACGAAATATCCGGCACTAAGCGCGCATCCGTGGATCGTCGACATACTTTATTGGTTCAGCTCAACGCTAAGCTTCCACTAAGCTCAAATTGTGACGTCGCATCCAACCACCACAGCCACATGGATAGAGGTACTTAGGTACATGTCAGATGCTGATGGCGGAGGCCCAACCGGCAAAACGGCAATGCAGCGACATTGAAGAAAGAGAGAGGCGCTGTCGCGTTATCCTTGCGCAGTTAGAATTCATTTTCCACTTTCAATTTTCTCATTCACCTGCAATTGACATTGCTATCGCTGACCTTTTGCTTTATTACCAGATCGTCTCTCCATTGGCAATCATCATTACCTGCCGGGCCTATTGGCAAGGTAAGGTGGAATAGCAAAAGTGATTTCTCCTTTGTTCATCAATTCCTATTATTATTCTTTCGCCATTCGAGTCCTTACCATCGTACCTTGTGTGGAGAACTAACCATCCACATCGGAAACGCCCAGTCCACTGCCTTGGCATTCATCATCATCGTCCCCTCGGAATTCCGAACTGCGCAACCTCCCTTAGGTAACTAGGATCCTACCTACTGGCAGCTGGAACGAGCTGGTCGGTGTCTCCCGGCTTGCTTCGCTTCTTGTTTCGGATATAGCGGACGTCCTGACATCATTCAACATCTTGTTTCCCAGCCATGTCCACTCGTATTGAGGAACCGGCCGATCCAGGGCTCCATAGCCAAGACCGGCCGTCGCAAGGAGGGGCCGCTAACGATGTGAACAATGAGAAAAATGTTCAACAAGTGTCCGACGACCATCCGCCCCCTGAAGATGGAGAACATCCGCGTAGTCCACCTATCGATGGCGCCAATGAGAAGCAGGATGGTCCTCCCCAGCGGCGCAGCACCTTCAAGGACAAGTTCAAGGAGCAGAAGCAGAAGATCAAGACTAAAGCAAAGCCTCCCGGTGGATTCGACCCGACCCCAATCCCCGATGCGCCCCCGGGCTATACTGTGAAATTCACATTTCATCGAGCCGAAAACCTACCTGCTGCCGACATAAGCACAGGGTCATCCGATCCCTTCCTGACCGCCACCCTCACCACCTCGCTGCCAAAGCGGCATAGAGAAGACCCTGATCTGATCTACCGGACTCGTACGCTTAGGAGGACTCTCGAGCCGGAGTGGGAGCAGGAATGGATTGTCGCCAATGTCCCATCGTCGGGGTTCAAGCTCAAGTGTCGCTTGTACGACGAAGATTGGCCCGACCACAACGACCGTCTGGGCAATGTCACAATTGTGGTTAATCGTGTGAGCGAAGCCTGGGAAGGCTTCGCGCCTCCGGGTAGGATGTTCGAGGTCAAGAAACGGAGCGGTAGCAAGCGCGCCTATCTTCTCAAGGCCTGTTCGACGGCTTTTACGAAGGACGTGTCCATGACGCCCAGGCTTTTTTTGAGTGCCGTTGTTGTAGGCAAATCAGATCCGCCTTATGGCCAGATGTATACGGTCGGCCCAACTTATTACTTCAAGCACTTCTCTCCCATGATTGGCAGGATGACTGGCATAAAGGTCAACAGGAACGAGGCCAACGACTCTAGTGACCACAACGCGGATGAGGCGACGAGTTCCTCGCATGGTAACGGCAAACAGGCGGAGAGGAGTACTCAAAAGTACGATTTCCAGGCCAACGAGCTCCAGCTATCAGGGCCTATACCCCAACATTTGTATCACAGGTTTGTCGAATTCCGCCCCATCATCGGTCTCCTATTCAGGAGCCGTGGACTGCGTGGCAAGCTTCTGAACAAGGCACTCCACCACCAACATGATCGCATCTACAATTTCGATAGACATACCAATTGGGGAACCTTCAAGCCGTGCTCGGAAGAGGCCAGCCTGCAACTCCTGAAGATGGCACACTTTGATGAAGGCGGGCGATTATTCACCTACGTCATTACCCTGGATGGCCTCATGAGATTTACCGAGACAGGCAAAGAATTCGGAATTGACCTTCTTTCGAAACACACAATGCACAGCGACGCGGCCATTTATATTGCCTGCTCTGGAGAGTTCTTCATTCGAAGGTTAAAGAAGCCTAAGATAACTAATGACCCGGATCCTGGCGAGCCAACTCATCCCGATCAGCAAATCCGGGGCGGGCCGCCCCTGGAAGCCCCACCGTCTAAGCCGGAATATTACCAACTCGTCATCGACAACGACAGCGGCACCTACCGCCCCGATAAGTCCGTGCTGCCCGACTTGCAGAAGCTCTTGGAGCGCAACTTCCCCGGCTTGGGTATTGTAACGCTAGCTTGTGATGATCCCGAGGACCAGAAGCTCAAGGCGACCCAGATCAAGGTGAAGAAGAGGGAAGGCCACACCGTCAACATGGTGCTGAACCGCAGCCCGAGCGCGACCTCGTTCAGCTCTGACGACATCAGCGACCTCGAGGACATGGAACGAGCCGGGGAGATTGGCCGTAAGAGTAAGAAGGAAAGGGCTTGGGATCTCCTCGAAGAACCGAGGCGAATTAAGGAATTGACAGGCAAACGGCCTTCAGACGCTGCTCTAAGCGGGCCGAGTGGGGGTAGTACAGCCGCCTAACGAAGGAGATTATTTATTCGGAGTTCCTCTAGGCGGGAGTCATCTAAGGCGGCTTGATATTCTAAACCCGATTGGTGGCTGTTCTGTCTTTGGTCACGGAAAAGCCGACTCAGAAACGGTTTACGCTGATATTTTATGTAGTTTGATTCCCCGGTTACTTCGTCAGATGGGACGCGTCTCGCGACGTTGGTGCTTTTTCACTTATCACGCTTATAATGAACTCTTCTTTCATTCATAACGAATCAACTTAGTCGAATCATGAACCAATGCGACTTTCACTACCTAGGTAGTCAACGTACCTACACTTCTTGCTATGGCTTTTTTGTGAAGTCGAACACTTAGACCGCGTCGACGGGCTAGATATCGTTTGAGTGTGTCGCTGATATGCAAGAACTGCAATACGTACGTAGCAGGGTGAATACGGCCATTTTGGTGCTATATAATAGAGAGCCACCCACATCTGCAATTAATAGATGCGGTCATACATGGCAAATCCTGTTGCACCCTGTTGTTGTCCCTCTCTTCTCTTTAACATTCACAGTGCGAGTGCTCTAGGCATAGATGCTCTTATGAGATCAAGTTGTTTGAAGTTGTTCGTAGACACTCCATTATCTCCCTAAGTTCAATGGCCAAACTTGGTCTCTGTTAATGTAACTACCATATAGCAATATTATCTACTTCGTAGTTGTTTACAATAAACGTACATTTTGACTTGGTTCATCAGTACTTGGATAAGGAGGTACTAGCAGACCACCTTGGTATGCGAAGATGAGATATTAGTGAGTTCATATAGGAGGTATACACTCATCTTCCTCTGCTCGCATCACAATCCCACAGAAAATATGGCACAGCTCATAAATCTTGAAGCAACATGTACCTAATTATCATGATGAGGATACTACGACTCTAGGAGAGCAGGAACTGAGCAGGGGTTTATATCTGTCGCTACAGCGTAGTTGATTAATTGGTAGGTATATCAAGAAAAAACAGTTGCCGGGTGCCGGATTCGAACCGGCATCTCCCTCAGATGGAGTCAGCGCCTGTGTGGTGTCTAGCAACCGCAATTTAGTACGGTGTCAACAGCCACATTACGGGGCAGGTGTTTTTCCCATTAAACCAACCCGGCTTTCGTTTTGTTGCTGAATGCTCTACTGGTTGTTGTGCTATATAACTCTTTCGGCGAGGGTCGGTTGTTGCTATGGGATAACGGGAAAGGGGGAAGGGCAGTGGTTACTTAGACAGACTCAAGTGAAAATGAGACATAGTCACAGGTCATCTTATTCATGCAAATGGCCCGAGTCACCCCCGGTAACTTGTTTATCTAAATGCAATATTTCGTTTGCCCCTATCATCCGTACTCGACTTGAGCACGCTCGTTTGTATCTCTAATGGCCGAACAGCTGAAAGAGATGAAAGGTCTCCTGTCGAAGAGCTAGCCCTCTTGTTATAACACTAGCTGATAATTCGAGATCTCCTCATGACAATACCGTCTGGGTGTTTCGGATGAGCTGTCAGACTTGGCCAGCAACAAAGGTGACTATAGATATATTCACGCATGTATAGCGCGACACGTTTCCAAACGTGACAATTGCTGTGTTTTATGAAGTATGGCTGACCCATGAGAAACTCGTTCGTAATACGATATCGTCAACCCCAACTGACACAATGTAGAACCGTAGTCTCTGACGAATATTTAGAAACCCTACCATTTACATATAATTTCTTCTACTATATACTTTCCATATTACCCATTTCACACCCTTTGCACACAACACTCTTATACACTACCTATCCTAAGTCATGGATGCTAAGGAGGCATCATTGGCCAGCACGGCCATCAGCTTTGCTCGCGAAAACTCAACCTACTACAAGGACCTGTATCAATCCGTCCAGAAGAGCGAGCCGGGCTTGGAAGACCTTCCAATTACCGACCTGGACGAGTACTGGAAGCTTGCAAGAGCCGATCCGGACAATGTACTGACGGGTCCTCTGGCAGACGGGACGGCTTATAGTTCTAGCGGCAACCTGGGGACGGTTTACCTGTCGAAGGATGAAGCCAGGAAGCTTTCCGACGAGAAGGCCATGCTCTGGCAAGGCATCCTAGAATACGAGAGGGGAGATCGTGTTGCGAATGTCATGATGCCTCGCGACCTGCACTTCGGATTCTTCAACTGGGTCAATCTATTCAACGGGATGTACAACCCAGCTGAAACGCCTCAGTTGTTCATATCAAGCGCGCAGCCGATGAGCACGATCGTAGAGGAGATCGAAAACTTCCAAACCAAGATTCTGTTCGGTACTTTGTCCGACATCACTCGACTAGCGGAGCACCTTAGGGAATCCCGCACCGAATTACCTTTGGTACGAGCCGTTCTCTACCTCGGGGAGACGCTGTTCAGAGACCTTCACTCGTCGTGGTATGATGGATTTCCCCATGCGAAACTATTCGCACCGCTCTACTCTAAGCTCGACCTCGGGCCGCTCGGTGCTCCAGCCCCTATTAAAACCTGCGAGGACCGAGACATCGACCCAACGTACCGCGTGTGCAAATCTGTGGCGATCGTGGAGATTGTTGCGGACGATGGCACTGTTATCAAGCAGCCGGGCATCAAAGGAAACGTGGTCGTTACACATCTAATACGTCGCCTACAGCCTATCATCCGCTACCCCATTGGCGACGTTGCTGAATGGGTGGACTATGAATCTCGGGCTTTCAAGAGTGTCAAGGAGTCTTCCCAATTCAAGCTTGCCGCAGCTACTCTCGACTTATCTCTGATGCAGCAGATAGTCAGTAAAGTCATAGAGACCGACATGAGCGGACGGTTCCAATGCATTCTTCGCCGCGGATCCCCTCCACACCAACTCGTTATCCGGCTGGCAAGCCCTATGGCCCAAAACCCAGGACAGATACGCCATAATATCGAGAGGGAGCTATGGAGAACTTGCCCTGAGTGGAAAAAGGATCGCATGCAGGGAGCTATTCTCTCTCTTCGGTTGGATTGGGTTGATGACGAAGGACAGCTAGAACATGATGAGACTGGGAAGCTTCGAGATATTATAGACGAACGCTATGAGAATATTTAGGGTAAATATTGTGCAAGGTCACCCTACACAGTGTTTAGGCGATTGTTTATTATGAAAATCTCTTCGGCTGGTCTTAGACGTGAAAGAGCTTCGCAGTAGCCCGATAATGAGGTATCCGTTACATTGTCAAGTACTCGGATATTAGACGTAGTTGTGAACAGCTTCGACACTAGCTATCAAGAGCTATTATAATAGAGCTAACCATTGTATCTTGCGGTGATAAGTATCTCACCCCAACCCTATGGGACTACGGTTACTTCATTACCATTTAACCCCCTACTCCTATTTTTTGCCAAGGAGGTAAGTAACAATAACATACTGTCAGGGCTTTCTTCGAATTCGCGACAGAAACATATGATATGTCTTCAAGCCTAGCATAAGCCGAATGTAATACCTTCTCATCCCGTGGAAGGATAACCGAAATGGTCGAAGAAGCAGACAGAAATGTTAACACGATGAGTAGAAGGATAATACATTCGCCCAATCTAATATATATGTGAATGGTCAATCCGTCTTAGTTATCTTCATGCTCACCGAAAGACAAGACAGTCCAACCTCATTCTTCTAATACTACAGCCCCCATTTCATATTCATTAGAAGTTGTCAGATGAAAAACTCACTCCTACGCGTCTAGGACTAAGAGAGTAATCGCGAGACGACCCCTTCATCACCTCCTAACTTTCCTCTAGATACTCCCCTACGCATCAACTTCCACGGCCGCTCAGTCACAGTCCCATTAGCCACCCTTGCATCTAACGAGTCACGGACTACGGTTGATAGAACATCGAGGGAGAACACAAGTTCCGAAAAAAAAGGATGGGCCCGAATTAGTTATCATAAAGAGGGAGTTTAGCCCGAAGGAAAATCTATCCGGGTATCAAATATGGTGACGGTAACTCTCCCCGTGATCTTTGCTCCCTTGTCTCCCTCGCCTCTCTGAGGCGTGCGATCCACCCGAACCCGAATATCAACTTCTTACGCGAGAGCCCCAGGGTTTGCCCCATGTAAATCTGATACGATGACCTAAACTGTCAACACAGTCGGAGCCAAGGTCTCTTCCACCCTTGACTCGACAATCCCGCTGTGTATATCGCGGCGCCTCCGAGAACCCCCTAGTAATGGCAATGTGGCTAGCGCCTATCGTTAATCGTGACTAAATTATGTCCCAATAGGTACGGATGTAGTCCAGCCAGGGTTCCCGCGCTAGTAGTTATGTTCCCTTTCAGATACCTCTATCCCAAAAATTATAACTCATGGATTTACTCGGTCGCACTGAGAGGTCGTGAGCGTTGAGCGACTACTTCCCGCGCATAAAATTCTACGAGCATCGTGGCATAGGCTTCTAAGTCCTCGACGGGTACGGCGAGTCGAAAATCGTTCAATAGGAGGAACTGCAGCTCGAGATGGTTGAGCTCAGCTAATGGGAGGCCGCCGACCTGTTGATTTTGTGTTAGCCTTTGTCATCTGGGAAGCGTGTATATTCGGCAGGTAATAGCAAATCTAGGCTATTGTACGAGAACGATTGTGAACGTACCTTAGCGTATCTCGAATTAGTGTAAAAAACATCCGAGAAGAATTTACTCGCACAAGTAACACCGGCTATGATCAGCCGATGTATGTTGAAGCTATCGACCACAAAATAAGTGGCCGGTGCCGCAGGTGGCGGCGGCAGTTCTCTAACGCGCTTTTCCCGATTTTTCTTTGCTTTTCCTTTTTCGTTAGGGTCATCAACGAGGTCCGACTCGGGTTCATCACTATCGTCACTATCCTCATCCCGCATTTCGCTATCGGTAGCTTGGCCAGATTGCGGCTCGGCCGCCGGGGCTCGAGGGTGCTGGCTCGGCTGTATCTGCGACTGCCTCCGCACTGCTTCAGCCTCCATCACCATAGTGTTGACTCTTTCCGTCATTCGATCGAAGTAGACTAGAAGGCTTAGGAAAACCTCATATGTAGTCGGACAGTACTTGTGAATCCTGCTCAAATAACTCAGAATCGTAATCGCCGGGACGTTTTTACCGTGAAAAGCAAGAACAGAGCTGCTGAGAGGGCTCATCGAAGTCCCTTCGCTATTGTGGGTGGCCGCGGTTTGCTGATGCGTGGCATTCCTATGTAGGGCATCGTGTTGAAGGTCGTTGGTGGTAGTGATTTTTGTTAGGAGTGCCGCAACCATCTCAATGATGTCGCCTATCGGCATTTGACTGATCTCATACTTCATCGCCTGGAGGGGCGGATCGTTGAGTATTCCCGGTCCGTTGCCTCCGTTCATCAAGTCTGCTCGGGCAAGGCTCTGGATGTGTGCGAGGTCACGGACAAAGACGGTATGCCCTTGTTGTGGGATTGCGCCATTGTCGGAGCTGACTCGCGGTGCGGGCGAGTTGTACTTGTCTGAATCCGGGGAGGGTTGCTGTTGGGTAGGTGTAGGTGTAGAGCTGCTGTTCACTGCCGATGCAGCTGACTGGGACTCCGATGCCATGTATTCCGACGACGGGCTCCTCGCATTCTGAGCTTTTACGCGTGCAGAGGCGGGATTCGGCGAAGAGGAATCGGGCGGCGTGGGGAATCGTGAGGCGCCACCGGTAGACGAGATGTGCCTGGGATCTACTCCCGTCTCTGCAGATTCCCAGGATCGTTTGGATGGAGTCGCACTTGATACCGAGGGACGGTATGAGGCGGAAGAGGTGGGCGAGTAGACTTTCTGCGACGGCACCTCGCGCGGCCTGTTCCTAGAGTCGGACCGGTATGAGGGTTCGCGAGAGCGCGAGTGTTCGTGTGGCAAACTTGAGGACGCTATCATGTTATGAAGTCGCGCGTGATCCGTAACGAAGTCTCCGATTACAGCAGCCATTGCATCGTTTTGTGGGAGGTGTGATGTGTGATTGTATGATAGGCCTAGCTTGTTGCCTGGGTATTAATGGAAGATATCGTAGATATCGTAGCAAAGGATTGCTAAAAGCCTGAAGAGAAGATAATGACCATGTTAGTAAATTAATCTTGTCTATTGTATGGTGTTTTCTTGTCGTTCAGTCTTTCTGCATTCAGTCT